TTAATACATTGGTATTTTCCTTTTTTTTTTTTTCTCTATTTTTTTTAATTTCTATAATAATACTTTCTGCCTAAGGCACGGAAATTTGCAGCTTTTGAACATTCAGTTATTCTAAATTTCAAAGTCTTTTTATTTGTTTGCAGTACCTCCTGACTAGGCATTTGTTTTGTCTCCATGGCGTTTGTATGTGTAAGCTGCTTTCTGCTGACCCCAAACAGTGTTTTGTGCTGTGCCCATGGGATGTGAATGTGACACTCACAGCATTCTGCTTCAATTACGTACAATGCAGCAGCTCCCACTGACAATAGATCTTCATATATTTAAACAGCCACATATTAAATGAGATTCTTGTTTCAAAAGGATAGCATGTTAAATATCGTTTTATTGAAGGCAAGTAGCTGTGTTCAAAAAGCAAGACTCCACAGCAAGTAGTCAGCATTCATCTTCCATTGTAGTGACTTCTCTATAATGTAATCTGCACAACACAACTTTTTGAAATGCCTTGTTAAAAAGCTTATTAATGCAGGCCATAGACGGGTCAAAAACCGTCCGTTTAAAAAAAAAAAAAAAACGAAAAATCGGTCATTCAATAGGCCAATATTACCACCAACGGTAAAAAAAATCGGCTGATTTTCGTCCCGTCTACGGCCGGCATTTAATTACTTCTGTCCCTGCAGAGAGCTCCGCTATTATATTTGACATGAAAAAGTATAGCGGTTGCAACATTGTATCTATTTGTATCCATTTCGGAAACAGATGTTTTTATTCGGATACAAATTGATACAAGTTGCAACCGCAATACTTTTTCATGCCAAATATAATAGTGGACTGGAATTCTTATTCTTTCCTTCTTTTTCTTCTCCTTCTTCTTCTTTTCTTCCTCTTGCAGGTCACGGCTCATGCGCAGATTTTTTATCGGTAAAAAGATCAGCAGATTTGCCCATCATTGCCGCAAAAATCGGCCGATCGGCAAAATCGGCCGATTTTTTTCCAACTTTACCGATAGAAAAAAAGTGCCAAATCCAGAAAAATGGCCGACCAATTAACCCACTAATGGTGAGAAAATCGGCCGATTTTCGACCCGTCTATGGCCTGCATAAGACCCCGGTCACACTGGGTGCAACTTGGCATGCGATTCGCATGACATACGACTTGCAAATCGCATGGCAAGTTGCACCCTATTGTCCGCAATTACAGCGGTCATATCGGTGCGGTTCTGACTTCATTGGAGTTGCACCAATTTCTAAAGTAGTACATGCACTAGATTGTATTGTAAGCTCCACGAGCAGGGCCCTCATATTCCTTCTGTACTGAAATGTATTGTAATTGTACTGTCCCCCTTATATTGTAAAGTGCTGCACTATATAAATCCTGTATTATAATAATAATAATAATGCACTACTTTTGGTGCAATTTGCATAGACACCTGTGTCAGATGTCTTGCAAATCGCACCTCAAATCGGCATGTCATCCAACTTTGAAATCGTGCGACTTCACTGTAAGTTGCACAATTTCAAAGTTGGGATTGGTGTGACCGGGGTGTAAAGCTCAACTCCCAGATTGTAGAAAAATCTACCCTTGCATGATCCCTCAAAATCAATGGTTGAATGCTTGCTAGGTCTAGGGGTATAGGAATAATGTGTAACATTTAAGTTACTCCTCATCAAGCTCCGGCACTCTGCATTTTTCTGCGATTCTCTGGGCTGTGGGTGGGTCCTCACTGACTTCATATACAATGCAGGACTATTGGTCCTTGATGGCATCAGAGAACCTTAAAAAAGAGGTTTCAGGGTGGTTATGCAGATGGAGGGAACCTACCAGAACGAGGAATAAGGTGGGTATTACACTTTACCCTTATACCCCTAGACTTAATAGGCATTTAAAGTGAAAATAACCATTAATTACTCACAAAATTCTAAATTGCCCCCCCATCCTGCTACCCTGCGTAAAAAAAGATCTGTATACCAACCTTTTTAAGTCCACTCTGGTCAGGTCACATGATCCTACAGCTCTGGCTCCCCTCTGTCAGTGAGTGGTGACTGCAGGGGAAAAGAGGGAGTGCCATCAATGGCTGAGCCATGGGAGCCTATGGGTGATGTCACATCTCTCAGACTTCACAGCCCTGGAGCGCTCCATGACACGGGAGCTGGAGCTGCAGGATCATGTGACCAGACCAGACTAAAAAAGGGTAAGTACGCAAATCTCTTTTTACACAGGATAGGTAGGAGGAGGAGGAGGGAAGGAACATTTTTATGAATTGGCTTTAAAGTGATTGTAAACATTCAGATTTAAAAAAAATACCTAACATGTCATACTTACCTGCTGTTTGCAGTGGTATTGCACAGAGCAGCACCGATCTTCCTCTTCTTGGGTCCCCCATCAGAGCTCCAGGCTCCTTCCCCCTGCTGCGTGCCACCAGATCAAGCTGCTTGCTCTGGGAGCACTCTATCGTGCTCTCTCCTGAGCAGCCTCTGTGTGTCTATGTGACACACAGAGTGTGGTTCAGCCCCCCTCCCCCTTGGTTCCCTCATCACTGGCTGTGATTGACAGCAGCGAGAGCCAATGAGGAGTCAGAGACCCGGGAGAGCTTCGAGCTCTCGTGCACATTGCTGGACTGGGATTGGGCTCAGGTGAGTATGAGGGGGGCTGAGGGGTGGGGAGCTTCACACTGAAAGTTTTTTACCTTCATGCTTAGAATATATGAAGGTAAAAATACCTTTAGCCTTTAGAACCACTTTAATTCTAGTTTAACCCTTGCTGTGTGAGGCCCACTGCAAGGGCATTTTTTTCCAGTTTGGAGTGGGGCTTAAGGTGTAATTTAGTCATGTGGTTGGGTGGGGGGCAGGAAAAATGTGCGACTGAGCCACCTTTTTAGCATCCCCCCAACCGCCCACCCTTAAAGTGGAAGGTAAATCAAAACCTGACTAAACTTAAACCTGCTCCCACCCCCATTCTAAGCCTATTCTATCCACCCTGTAAAAGGAAAGAAGTCTATTCACTGAAGTCACGGCTTCAGTGAAGAGGAGAGATCGTCAAAAATGGCTGCAGAGCCTGGGCGATGAGGTCACCTATAGGCTTACCATGGGGCATCTTTTGTTGGCTGTCCCTCCTCTACATTGAAGCCGGGACTGGGAGCCGATCATGTGACCAGACCAGAGCGCCCTCAGAATAGAGAAGTATAGGCATCTTTCCTTTTACAAGGTGGATAGAATAGGCTTAGAATGGTGGTGAGACCAGGTTTAAGCTTAGGTTTTGACTTGCCTTTTACTTTAACTATTGAACTAACCCCTAATTGTAAGTCATCATCTTTAGGGCAGCACAGTGGCTAAATGGTTAGCACTTCCGCCTGGCAGTACTAGGGTCGTTGGTTCGAGTCCCAGCCATGGCACCACCTGTCTGGAGTTTGCATGTTCTCCCTGTGCCTGCGTGGGTTTCCTCCGGGTACTCCGGTTTCCTCCCACACTCCAAAGACATGCTGGTAGGTTAATTGAATCCTGTCTCAATTGGCCCTAGCATGTGTATGTATGAATGTGAGTTAGGGACTTTAGATTGTACGCCCCTTGAGGGTTAGGGACTGATGTGAATGTATAATGTATATGTAAAAGCACTGCGTAAATTGACATCGCTATATAAGTACCTGAAATAAATAAATAATCTTTGGCAAATAACAAATCTATACTAGACAAGGGTGCATTTCCCTACCCACCATCTGGCCAATTGATGAATCTAAAATATATAACCTTTATTCAAATATAAAAAAAAATGTATGCTTAGCTGTAGTGAATGCCTATTGGAGTGGAATGTACTGCGCACAACAGTATGACTGGATACCATTACAATTATTTACCTTACATCCAAATGGTTAATAACACCAGAGCAGGTCAAATACCATACCGTTTTAGATGAAGTGACGGCATAAAGAAGACACTGTAGTTTGATCATAAACCTATCAGATGAAATATATAATGTCTGTTAAGGAAATGGAGTTACCCCATTGACAAAACTAATTAGATAGTATAATCTATCTTGCTACAGATATGTAATATGGGTACACTCATCCACAGGCTTAAATGTCAGCCTCTCGTGGATGAGCCCCATACATCACCATATCCACTCAAAAAGACCTCACTCTCTTAAGGAATGCAAATGACGCACTGTAAAACGCAGTACAGACCTCTCTCAAAAAAAAGGGGGAGAGGAGTGAATACCATGTGAATTCAAAAAGTGCTCCCAAAGAAAGACCCAAAGAAAAAAAAGACAAACTCTACATGTTTTGCTCCAGAAAACAGAGCTTTGTCAGGAGTATAATGAATTAAAATAGGTCACATAGTGGCTGGAAGTTGTGCTCGGCTGCACATGGTAGCAAATGGTGCCTTTTACTTTAAGCTGCAAATAGCAGCAGCTGGGGGGGTTTACATGCCACTGTTGCGATGCTTTGCAGCCGCAGCAAAAAACTACCCAACATGTTGTGAATAAGGAAACGTTGCAAATCCCAAAAATGGGGTTAAAACAGGCAGTCAGGAGGTGTCCCATCGCCTCCTCACTGCCTGTCAATCACTTACTGAATATGGATAGTTTTTCAGAGGAGCAGTAGATTGTCTAAATGTACCCTAAGGGCTAATTCACACTACAAAAATGCACTCTGCATATGTTTTTGCTTACAGTTCACACCACACCACAGTTTTGATGCAGCTTGCCATGTTCCAGTATGGTTCTTGCAGAAAAAATGCAGCATGTTCTACTTTTTTTTCCTGCACTGGAAACTGACTGGAACGGACTGTACTAGTGTGAACTAAGGCCATTGGAATACATGGAAAACACTGTGCATGCATTTTTGATGTAGAAAAGAAGTGCACTGAACTGCATCTAGTGTAACTAGCCCGGCTGGCTCACACTATAGAAACACAGTCCAGATGCGTTCTGGATGCGTTCCCACATGCGTGTTTTTGATGCATTCCGGTGCATTTTTTATGCATTTTTGCCGTGTTCCAATGTATGTTTTATGCATTCCAGTTCATTATTTCCCCACTCTTTTTCTTCAATTTAAATAGGGACATGTGCATCCCAGTGCGTTTTTTGGTGTGTTCCAGTGCGTTCTGGTGCATTTTCTATGCGTTTTACCACATTCCAGTACAGTTCTGTGCAGGAAAAATGCAGCATGTTCTACTCTTTTTTTTTTTGCAACTGGAACGCACTGGAGCTGCAAGCACTGATATGAACTATGACATTGACAACCATATAACCTACTTTCTGTGTGTTTTGGATGCAGAAAGAAAGCAACTGAAATGCATGTAGTGTGAACTAGCCTTTAGGGCCGATTCACACTATAGAAACGCAGTCCAGATGCATTCTGGATGTGTTTTTGTATGCACATTTTTGACGCGTTCCGGTGCATTTTTGATGAGTTTTTGACGCATTCTAGTGCGTTATTATGCATTCCAGTTAATTTTTTTCCTCTCTTTTTCTTCAATTCAGATAGGGTCATGTGCGTTACAGTGCATTTTTCATGTGTTTTCCCACGTTCCAGTACAGTTCTGTGCAGAAAAAATGCAGCATGTTCTGCTTTTTTTTCTGCAACTGGAACACACTGGAACTGCAAGCACTGATGTGAACTATGACCTTGACAACCATATAACCTACTTTCTGTGCAGTTTGGATGCAGAAAAAAAAGCAACTGAAACACATGTAGTGTGAACCGGCCCTTAAAGTGTATCTGTGACTATTTGTGGGGAAAAAGGATGGATTTCATTTGGATGCAGTGTTGCATGACTGTGCAATTGTCAGTTAAAGTAACGCAGTGCTGTATCTCAAAAAATGGCCTGGTCAGGAAGGGGGTAAATATTCCGGAGCTGAAGTGGTTAGAAATGTATAAACTGTGTTTTCAGTTTGTGGTGCTCACATACAGCCGAGTTTTTCTTTTAATCATTTTCATAGAATTCCAACTCACCCACTTCTAGCAGTGACTCAACATCTCAGCAACTGCTGGCAGGGGGATTATGCTTCTGACGTGGTAGAAATGCACACCTTATAGAGACTTGTACCCAGTGCAATGTTCATCTTCAGTTTTTTGCTTCTTTTAAAGGTTTACTTTAAATTGGACATTTCATTAAACGTTACAATGAGTAACGTTTTTTTTCAATGAATAAATGCCTGACAAGTCACATTATACAGCAACAGTATAATTAAAAAACAAAAATCTCTGACCTTTATCATTAAAAAGCACCCTTTGAGCTCCAGTCCAGTGCCTTTGCACGGGCTGAGATGAAGCCATCTTATCACTGGGTGAGAAATGCTTCCTTCTGCTCACAGTGAAATGACTGCAACAATTCACCTTTGTAGCAAACCACAAGGTGAGAGGCTGGAGCAGGGGCTGATCTGTGTCGAACATGTATGAAAAGCAGCCAAGAACTGCACAAGTACCAGGATAGTGTCTTCTTTGAGCCATAACATCATTTCAAGAAATACATACAGACCCTTGATGCCTAAACAAATATAATGCTGTCCTTCTGGAGAAAAAAAAAAAAGTAAAAGGCATTGCCAGGGGGAGTACTTAGATCTCTGTAAGAAATATTAACATAGCCCAAAAGCAAACACTTATTACGTTGCAGCTTACCAGATCTTAGATGTGATGGATGCATTAGCTTTCTTATTTAGGCTTTCTTTCCTTTATTTTCACTGGGTGATTGAGCCAGTGAATCTGTTTTTTTCAACAGAACAAGCTCTCCTGCAAATGTAGCAGTTAGAAGGTTGAAACACACCACTGTACAATGACAGGGGTGCTTATCAGCTTTTATTTATTTGCATAAAATCTTTGTTCTAAAAGGAAAAAAAAATGTAACTGATTATTACGTATGAACTGGAATTTAGCTTCAATTTATTAGTGTATCTAAATCTGCTAGTACATCTAAGGCCCCATGTACACGGGACACTTCTGAACAATGGAAACTGACTGCTGGAAACACAGGTCAAAAAACATCTGTTTAGCTGCGTTTGCATAACGAGTTTATACGCGTTTGCGTTTAGAAGAGTTTTTTTAAAGATAAGCACAGGAGAACCTCCCAAATGCCCAGAATGCACTGAAAAGTGGTAAATTATTAACTATTTCAGACTGTTTCAGAGAAATACAGAGAGTAGAAGCAGAGACAGCAGTACGTGTTGAGATTAGCTTAGGTGTGAGTTGCTCATTAACATTTCTTTTGTTTCCAAGGGTAGGAAAGGTGTCTGGTGGAGTGAGTCATTAAGGCCACCTGGCAGGGGGTCTTCCTAAGGAATTTGAGGTGTGAATGGTCATTAACGTATCTTTTGTTTCCAAGGGTGTGAGAGGTCTGAGGTGTGAATTGGTCATTACAATGTGTGACAAGCTTGGTAGGAACATCCTGTGTTCAGTGTTTAGTCCATTTGAGTACCTTGAAAAAGCTTTGCATGCATTTTTCATGATGAAAAAAGGCTCTGGACAGCATCGTGAACTGGAAAAGTAAAAAAAAATTTCAAACGCAAATGCTTATAAATGCGATATGCCAGTGTTTACAAGGATTTTGCATTTGAAACGCTGATAAAATTGACTGCTGAACACAAGTTTTCTGCATACAAAAAACGACTGTAAGCTCAAATGTCTGTAAACGACTGTAAACGAAGATGTGTACATGGACACATAGGAAAACATTAGGGTTCAGGGGCTGCTGGAAAAAATGATGAACAGCTCCTAAACGTGAGTTTATCATCTGCAGTGTACATGTGCCCTAACACTCTCGTCCCCCCAGACTGACAATGCTGCTGCCTTAAGGTGCCCCTGTGCTCTTTCATCCAGAGTGGAAACACTCTAATAAAGGGGTTGTGTTACTGGCCTGGTCATCAGGTGAAAACAGAGAAGAAAAGTCTGAAAAAGAAAACTAATGCAGCCACCACATCTAATTATTGGTAAGCTGTATATATTACATTTTTGGTTTTGGGTATAATACTGATTTCATTACTTGTACGTGTTTCACTTATACATTATTTAGCATGCATCCACTTACCATAAACATATTTCTAATGCAGGTCCACTTAAAGTGGACTGAGCCAGGAGCGGGAGCGGCTCAAAGTCCCACCACTCGTCAGTGTTTCTCAGGCTTATCGGTTCAACCGGTGCACCTGAGATGATCTGATGGTGCGGCCAGCTGGACACAGATGTGATGAGAGACTCTATCATCTCTGATTGCCCCTATGGCTTTGGAGAACCGGAGCAATGTCCTGACGTCACTTCTGGTCTGGAACAGATGGAAACTTTTTTCTTTTTTTTTTTTTTTTAAAGCAAAAGATCAAATTTTTTTTCAGTCTTTTGCTTTTAAAGGTAAAGGAGAGATATGGGGTCTTTTTGGTCCCAGATCTCTCTTTAAAGAGGACCTGTCATCCTTATGTCTGTTACAAGGGATGTTTACATTCCTTGTACTAGGAATATAAGTGATAATAAAGAAATAAAGGGACATTTATTATTATTATTATACAGTATTTATAAAGCCCCAATAGTTCGCTCAGCGCTGTACATTACAAAGGGGGACAGAACATGTGACAGAACAATACCAATACAATGCAAAACATGAGGGGATTGAGGGCCCTGCTCTTTGGAGCTTACAATCTAGGAGGGAGGGGATGGTGGCACAGGAGGAGATAGCTGTGGGGGATGGAGTGGTAGGAAGAGTGGAGGAGGTCGGCAAGTTAGCAGGGGGTGGGGTAGGCTTCCCTGAAGAGGTGGGTTTTCAGGGTGCGCCTAAAGGAGAGGAGAGTAGGTGATAATCTGATGGGTTGGGGCAGGGAGTTCCAGAGGATGGGTGACACCCTGGAGAAGTCCTGGAGGCGGGCATGGGAGGAGGAGACCAGGGAACTAGAGAGAAGGAGGTCTTGTGAGGAGCGGAGTGTGCGTGCTGGGCGGTACTTGGATATTAGGTCAGTGATGTAGTTCGGGGCAGTATGGTGGACGGCTTTGTACGTCAGTGTTAGGATTTTGAATTTGATCCGTTGCGCAATCGGAAGCCAGTGGAGGGATTGGCAGAGGGGGGTGGCGGAAACGGAGCGGTTGGAAAGGTGAATGAGTCTGGCAGCCGTATTCAGGATCGACTGAAGCGGGGATAGCCTGTGGCGAGGCAGGCCAGTGAGGAGGGAGTTGCAGTAGTCGAGTCATGATATGATGAGGGAGTGGATGAGCTGTTTAGTGGTTTCTGGGGTTAGGAACGTGTGTATTTTGGCGATGTTGCGGAGGTGGAGTCTGCACGAGTTTGTTAAAGATTGGACTTGGGGCTGGAAGGTTAGGTTGGAGTCCAGAATGACACCAATTACTCTGGCCTGCGGGGTGGGTTTGATGGTGACGTTGTTGGATGTGATGGAGAAGTCAATGGGGGGGGGGGGTGTCCGGACTGGGGGGGGAAGACAAGAAACTCGGTTTTGGAGAGGTTCAGTTTAAGGAAGTGGAGCGACATTCAGTCTGACATTTAAAAATGTTTTTAAAGCGCCTCCATCCCTCCGTGCTCATGTGCAGAAGTGAACGCATACGCATATGTAAACAGTGTTTGCAGCACACATGTGAGGTATCACCGCAAATGTTAGAGCAAGAGAAACAATTCTAGCGCTAGACCTCCCCTGTAACTTTAAACAGGTAACCTGCAAAAATGTTTTAAAGCGAGCGCTATGGAGATCTTTAAGTACTGTAGTTTGTCACCATTCCACGAGAGTGCGCATTTTAAAGTATGACATTTTAGGTATCTATTTACTAGCTGTAACATCATCTTTCATATTTTATTTAAAAAATGGGGTATATATTGTGTTGTGGGTGTATTGTCTCCAAATGAATTGCATTTAAAAAATAGCTGCACAAATACCATGCAGCATAAAATATTGCCATTTCATTCCCTAGGGTCTTTGTTAAAAAAAAAAAAAAATATATATATATATATATATATATATACACAGGGGCGGACTGACAACTCATGGGGCCCCCGGGCAATAGGGGATCATGGGCCCCTGTGTCCTTACCCAAACTCAAAAAAGCCTATGAAAAAGGTACCAGGGGTATCTCAAGGGGCCCCCTACTGACCCCAGGCCCTCGGGCAGTGCCTGAGTTTCCAAATGGCCAGTCCGCCCCTGTGTATATATATATATATATATATATATATATATTTATATTTGAGGGTTATAAGTCATTTTCTAGCAAAAAAATATTAATTTAAACTTGTAAACAAAAAGTGCCAGAAAATGCTTGGTCTTCAAGTGGCTAGTCACCTTTTTTCTTTTGTATTAATACATCAGCCTCAGGGACCACACTGACTTAGTGTGTTGGCATATTTCTACAGTTTAACCATTTTATCTCTTTATTAGCAATAAAAACTGACATGGGTTCTAATCTTTCTCCACTGTATCCATCCCACTGGATATATCACAAAAATACCACATATTTCAGAAAAATACTGTATGCTGTGTTTTAGAAGCATTTTTTTGTGAATGCCGTAAAACGTTTTGAAAAACTCTGAGTTATTTTACTGCAAATTTTAAAGAAGAAAATACCACTTTGTGAATGAAGTTCATTGACCTCATTTCAGGATTTTACCCTTTTTCACCATGTAAGCCAGGGGTGCTCAACCTGTGGCCCTCAGGGCCACATGTAGCCCTCAGAGCCATCTGATGTGGCCCTTGACCTCAAACCAAGGAAGTACTTGCTGAGGGTCGGCAACCCATTGATCGCAATTTGGGCTTGCTGACCCGCCATCCCAGAACATCAGAGCAGATCAAGCCAGAAGCAGAGGAAGCAGGTGGTCATGGAGGGAGCAGGAGCCGCATAAGCCAATGCTTCCTCTGTGGTGCCGGCTCCTGTCCCAGGCAGAGTCATACCAAGTACCTTTCTGGCAGCCTGGAGATGGAAAGTGATGCCAGCAGAGGTTGGAAGAGGAAAAGAAGGTCAGTGTATTTAAACAACACATACATTGCGTTTTTGTAATGAGCATATTAGCACCTATAAATGGGTTAACAACTATTAGGCTGCTTTCACACTGATCCGCGGGTACAGCACAGTTCACCGTCGGCTTTTCTGCAGATTAGCTACACTGAGCCATAGACTTCTATTATATCCTGTGGGCTTGGTTTGCTTTCTGAAAGTGCACCAAAACTCCTGAATGCAGAGGTTTTGGTGCGCCTTCAGAAAGTGCACCACACCTGCAACATAAATTAGAAGTCTATGGCAAAGTGCAACCAGCAGGAAAGCCGCAGGTGAACTGCGCTGCGCCCGTGGTGTGGGTAAACCTTATAGGAGGCTCAGGACAGTAAGGGCTCATTTACATAATAGAGAGAATTGTATCTTACATTTTGTTGGATTTTTAAGGCAACCTTAGAATGTATCCAAAACAATCTATTATTTATAAGATTGACATTTTATTTGACACATTGATACATATTGAATAAACTACACGTTTCACCAATAAAATATAGCGATTCTTGACAACATATTTGCTTCACAGCATTTGTAGTTATTACATTAAATGACTAATGGTATCCTTTAAAGCTGATTTCCATCTTGCAACCTCATTTTTTGGACTACAAGTGCATTCAGCCTAAATCCAACGCGTTTTGAATACCTTAGTACAGATTCTTCCTCAGGGAAAGGATATCACTCTAAAACAATAATTGTCAGTAATTAATCCGTTATACATGTATTCTATAGTCAAAGAATTGAAAGGCCAACCTTACAAGATGTGTGACTTACACACCATTAAAATTGGTCAAAAAGGGGATGCTTTGCTGTGTTTGGAAAATGAATCTCCCCCCCATAAGATGAGGTCATCGTCTGACATGCAGGAACCACAGGTGCCACATCACCGACACTGTTGTAACAAAGCGTATATCAATATATGTATATTATATAATACATTAATATGTATTATTAATGTAATATTAATCTACATTGATGTCCTGAAAATATATAACAAGGCATCAAGCATATCTTGGAAAGTTCTTTTCCTTTTATAGATCTACTTTGTCCGATATTGGTGGGGACAGAAGATTTTTAAATCCTCATAATGTGTATCTTATGAACAGATATATAAATTATGAACGGATACTTAGCTAGTTTCATTGTCCCTCCACAATTAAGGATATACTCTCAGCAGCAACAGAAAGGGATAATTAATTGAATATCTAAATTGCATTCATTCAAAAAGTTTTTTCAATATAGACATTCAAAATAATCACTTACATTCTTAGAGCTCGCCATGAACTGCATAAAAATAAAGTGCTGTATAGACCGGACATCCAAAGTACACAACTGTTCAGACTTTAAACCACCAAGGGGTCAGGACCGGGTATCATACATGTAATTCCTCCTGGGACTAAACTCAATATTTGCTCATTTACATTTGCAGTTTGGGGAGCGGTAAAACCCCATAGTTGAGATGTTTTTATCACTCCCCCTCCCAACCACTGGTGTAGCAGCCTCCCTGTCACATTCTGTTTTACACTTGGACAAAAGGGGTGGCAGGGGCGGCATATACGGGAATTGATCCTCTCCATTTTTCACCTGCAACTGCTGAAATCCAGCTACTCCTCCTTTCCCTTATTCAGTGGCTAG